AGTCTTCTATTATAATTCTTTATCCTTATAGATATACGTATTTACAATGTCTTTTTTTAACACTTTAGTTGGATACGTGTTAAAAAAATACGTGTTAGTTGGATACGTGGTACTTTCCGGTGTTTATTAGCATCGAACTCTTTCTATCGCTCCATTTTATTTTATTGCGACTTACATCATACTTACAGCTAAATCGAGACGTGCTAAAAGAATTAACAATAATTGCAAAGAAAAATCAATGCTTTAAGAATCCTGTTGTATCGTTATGTTATCATTTATTGATCAACACTATAGGAATACAAGGTGCTACATATGTATATGACATGTATATCATACATGTCCATCATACACATACGCGGAGTTTTATAACTGAAAACTTGTTCTATACATCATATTAAACGCACCAACATCGAGAAACCACAAAACATGCATACATTTATAACGACAAAGTTTTTCTCTTAAATATAATGGATGTGAAACTTACATAAAAAATTCAATTTACATGTTTTATAAATAAGTGTATCAAAGTTTATATTTTAAATTTCGCGAAAAAATATTGCATGCGTACATGGAAATTCAATAATATCGATCGCACACATTGATAGGTGTGTCGAAGGTAAAGATACATCTATTTTCATACCGCTACCACTTGCCTTTCGCGACAACGCGACACTAACTCTGCTGCACCGTGTTTGTATAACTATATACATCAATTTATATTACACAAATCTATCTTCTATACATCACGCAGGGAGAATGGAGTTCGTCAATGGTAAAGAATATAAAGTCAGAGAAACTTCGTAAGCGATCAGCTGCTCCCGATGTAATATTATGTAATTGTGTATGGTATTTTTATTATACTTCGTAGGTTCAGTGAAAGTGCGACACCACAGAGTGGTGGCGGATCGCTCAAGTCGGATAGTAGTGGCGAAAAGAGATGGTAAGTGCGGGCCCCAGAGTATGGGCACCAGCTACCTATACCGCTCGCAGTATATTCTGTATCACTCGACGATATGCCATACATTTTTACATTTCAGATTATGTATTGTTATCTATATATAAAGACACAATGTGCACGACTTGTGCACGTTCATCACGACGTAGCGTTAAACACAGTTTTGGTATTTCCTTGTACTTGCCACCTTTCGCTAGCGAGAATTTACAGTAAATAAATAAAGGGAAAATTTACATGTTCTACGTTTCTTGGGATAATTTTAAGCAGAAGAGATAAATTTTGCTGCAAAGAGCTTTGTCAGAATGCTCGTACTAATGTGTAAAATAAAGCATTGTAGCATTTTTCTTCTGTACAAAATTATCTGGAAAAAAAGGGATATGTAAATACTTTGTTTATCCTACTGCACATGCAAATTCTATGTGAGCTTATAATCACGTTGTAAAAATGAATGATTTTTCAAGTAAAAACACAATATAAATTGGCAGTAAATAAATTCGACGACAGCCGTTAGATAATTACATATTGCTATATCAGAGTGAAATCTGATCTTTGTACAATAAGAGTCTAGAACTTAATCATTATATAATATCAGATAAATTTCATTCAGAATGAAAAGTGCGTTTACAATGACATCGATAACAAAGGTATATTATTTATGTTATGACACGACAGCGTAATTTATATGCGCAACGTTTATCGCAGACATGCGGAAAAGTTATAATTTATTTCAATTATGCTTTTAAATTTTGTTTGTACATTTTATAGTATACAATTTTGTTTATATATTCACAATATAAAAATTATAAATAGAAAATATGCAGAAAAAGATTTGTACATATAATATATTAAAAGAATAAATAAGATTATTATATTATATTTATTATAAATTATTATATATTATTATTATATTTATTAT